GCCTGCGCGCCCGAGGGCCTTGCATCCTTATCGCGCGCCCGCCCCCACCTTCTGGTCGCATTGCGCCTCATATCCGCCCGCACCCCTTCGGCGTCACCCCAACACCAATACTGTGTGCGCGTCGCGCCCCCAGGGGCGACGCGCGCACCGAGAACTCTTCCAGTATATGCGTCGTGGCGGGCCCGTTCCGGCCACAGGTCGGACGCGCGCCTCCAAGGAGAAGATACAGCACCAAAGAGGTCTCTGTGCGTCCCCCCCCCACGGGGAGGGCAGGTGGCCCAGCATGGCCTGCCTGCTGCAGGAGGTCGTCGGGTGCGAGGCCCCGACGCGCGCCCCGCGCCAGCGAGCCACCGAGACCGCCGCCGCGACGGTGTGCCCGCGGCGGGCGCGGGTGCGTCCGAGACCACCCTGTGTCGGGCTGGCTCCTCGTTTTGAATCAGCAGCGCCCCGCGTCCTCCTCCCCCCTCCTCCTCCTCCTCCTCCTCCTCCTCCTCCTCCTCCTCCTCGTCCGCCTCGTCGTCTTCCTCCATCCTCCTCCTCCTCCTCCTCCGCTCCTCCTCCTCCTCCTCCTCCTCCTCCTCCTCCCTCCCTCCCTCCCTCCCTCCCTCCCTCCTCCCTCCCTCCCTCATCCTCCTCCTCCTCCTCCTCCTCTCCTCCCTCCTCCTCCTCCTCCTCTCCTCCTCCTCCTCCTCCTCCTCCTCCGCTCCTCCTCCTCCCTCCTCCTCTTATCCTCCTCCCTCCTCTCCTCCTCCTCCTCCTCCTCCTCCGCCTCCTCCGTCCTCCTCCTCCTCCTCCTCCTCCTCCTCCTCCTCCTCCCTCCTCTCTCCCCCCACCCCACTGGGAAGCCATGCCGTTCTTTGGATATTCACGCCTGGGCGTTTCCTCGCCCAGGTATATGTCGGGCCTCGGGGCCCCTGGCGGGTCGGTCTGGCTCGCGGAGTGTCGCGGGAGGATGTGGTCCACAGAGCTCTGGGCGTGATCTTTTACGGCGCTGCAACTTGCTCGCGCCCTCGGATCTCAGCGTTTGACGGGGCTCCTCCCGCCGGCGCGCCTGCCGCATGCTGGGGTCCTCCCCAGCCAGGGCCCCCAGAAAAAAGCCAGGGCTTCGCAGAGCAGGGCCTCGCCAGGCCCACCCAGGGAGGGCCTGTCGATGATCCTCAGGAGGTGTGTTGGCCCAGTGTGTGTTGTGTGTGAATGTGTGAATGTGTGTGTGTGTGTGAATGTGTGTTGTGTGTGAATGTGTGTGTGTGTGTGTGTGAATGTGTGTGTGTGTGTGTGTGTGTGTGAGGTGTTGGCCCAGTGTTGTGTGAATGTGTGAATGTGTGTGTGAATGTGTGTGGTTGCCCTGTCCGGCCCCGCCGATAGCACGCGGCCTGCGCCGGCCTTGTGACACTGCCCGCGTCGTGTCTCGCTTGCCTATCGGTGCAACGGGCCACGATCTGCTCAGTGCTTCTGGGGACATATCCTTGCTCGGCCTCTCGAGCAGGCCTACTCAGGATCTGGAAGCACCATGCCGTTCAGCACATTACCATGGTGTGCCCCTCGAGAGCAGGTTGGCTACGGAGCTCATGTGGGACTGCCGGGGAGCTTCCCAGAAACCCCGCTGGCACCATCTCCTGCGCCCGTCCAGGGACCATGTCCCGCTTCGAATGCGACGGCTCAGCTTGGCCGTAGTGCCCGATGGGGCCATGCAGCCAGGAGGACGAAGGACGAATGCTCCTTTAGGCTCAGTCCAGACTATGGGAAAGACTGAGGAGATTCCCCTAAGCTTTTCTGCCACGTCCGTGGCTGGTGCCCGCTGGGTCCCGCTCGGAACTCTCCAGTGGGCCAGGGGCGTGGTCAGCCGCTTCACCAAGTTGTTTTCATCCGTGGTGCAAGCTATCGTGTCCAACCTTTTCTCACCGCAAAGTGTGCACGACCCGGTTTCTGCCGTACAGCCTTCACAGCTACGCCGTTGTGCCCCCCCAGACATCACAGGCGTGCTTATTTGCGCTCTGCGTGTATAGCTGCCCGCATTTCCGCCCCGAGCGGGCAACGGAGTTGCGACCCCCGAGGCCACGATGTGGCGGACAGTTCATGCCGCCCTCGCACCATTTACACCAGCATGTCACGCAGGCGGTGCCAGCGTGGTACTAGCAATTCGCTCAGGATGGTCCCTCGACGCCCTTGTGGGGCATGCAGATTTCCACATCTTCGCGGTGGCTAGATCGGGTCACTTATGGCGTCGTGGTGCTCACCTTCTGGCCTCGACCCCCAAGGATTGGGGCTGCAGGCCAGGGGGAAGACGAAACCGGGAACAGACGACGGTTGTGGGGTGATGTGGGTATATTCAAGAGCGAACGTGGACCATTGGAGCCGTGCTACCACCCCGAATGGGGCTACGGCAGCGAAGACGAGGACGAGTCCCGATTAACGCGGGTCCCGTGCAGGACCTGAATAGGGACGCTTGCCTTAAGTTTGGGGAACCGTTTGTCCGCCAAAAGGCTCCTGCGGACACATA